GTCGCTAAACTGACCTGGGTCAAAATCAGTGTCAGTGGCGTCTGACGCCAAGAAGACATATGCCTCCTCTAAGCTGTACATGTGCTGCATGTTTCACTAACACACGACCTGACACAAAACAAGCAAATTCCTAACACGCAATCTTTTTTAAATAGACTAAAACAAACAAACTAAAACGTTTAGCAGCAATCCCTAAACTAACTCCTGCAAAAAGAATCTAATCGAGATTTGGGGGAAGGAAACTGACTGACTAAAATTTGACGCTCATAAAAAACAGACTAAGAAAGTAAAACACAGCTTTTTGAAAGAAAAAAAAAACCCTTAAGGGCAAAAAAAATTAAAAAAAATTACAGACAGTAGAAATGCACTGCTGTAACAGGACTTGGCAGGGAAAGGGTTAAAAGGGAATTTTTTTGTAACTTTTTCACAAGTTTTGGAACTTCTAGCAACACTTCAACAAACTGGCTGCAAACTATCACCATCTGATCTGTCTCTCTCGTCTCACAAAACGCTACAGAGGAGAGAGGCAGAGATCACTGTCAAAGTAAGTGTTTGTACACCCACTTTGACAGCAACCAATTGTGAGCGATCGCGGGTCGCTCACACACCGTAATTGGCTGTTACTATCTGCCTGGGATAGTAACTGCAGATAGTAACAGCGGGATTTTGGCGGAAGCGATCTCTGATCGCTCCCGCTGCCCGTTTTCCGTTATGGTGGTTCAGGACCATCACCGGTCCTCAAGGGGATGTTACCAATGACGATCCTGAACCGTCATCTGTCCTCAAGGGGTCAAACAAAATACCGGTTTCACCAACCTTAGAAACATAGAATGTGACGGCAGATAAGAACCATTCGGCCCATCTAGTCTGCCCTTGTTTATCATCAACTCTGCATTCCAGTGCTCAGTCACCTTGACTACTATCCTTCTGCACCCCAGTGCTCCAAGCCAGCCTGCTGCTTCTAACCTCCAAAGGGGAACCAAAAATTTCACCTTACCTGCCTAGTAGTGAGGTGTGACGGAACGCTGGCACTCCGATTGAGTACCTCCGCCAATCGATGCTCCTAGTGCTCGCTGAGGACTCCAAGCACTCCAACCGACACCATCAGCACTGCAGACCCCACTTCCAACGATGCAACTGCACCGGGGTCTCTGCTGTCTCCACCCACCCTGGACCCAAGGCCAGGATCCAGCTTCCAGTGGGTGAACCTCTTTCCCCAGAGAGCAGGAACAGGAACAGGAACAAGCTCTTAGCAGAACTTAGTGATCATACCCTGGGGAGTATAGTGATTATAGCAATCCCCAGAGTGTATTTCTCCAATCCCCAAAACATGAGCCAAGGCTTAATGCTGGAACAAGACTGATTTACTGGCACACAGAACTCACAATTTATGCAACACAAAACTCCTCCTCTGGGCCAGGCTAGATAATTGAATTTCTACAATACACAAAGCTCAATTATCTGCTGGCCAGAAATAATACAGTTTCATAAAACACATCACAGGGACCCCAAAACATGCAATAACCCCATAAAAAGTATATCCTTGGAACCGGGGGATCTGGGTGAACCAGTGGCGTACACATGACCCACGGGGCCCCGGTGCAAAAAAATTGATCCGTGGGCCCCCTCCCCGCGCACGGGCCGGGCCGCAACACATGACGATGGGCACCTGGTCGCAGAGGTTACAGGGCTGTGACCCCTGCGACCGCGGTATGTACGCCAGTGCATGCAGATGCACACACACTTAAAGGACCACTCTAGGCACCCAGACCACTTCAGCTTAATGAAGTGGTCTGGGTGCCAGGTCCAGCTAGGGTTAACCCATTTTTTTCATAAACATAGCAGTTTCAGAGAAACTGCTATGTTTCTGAATGGGTTAAGCCTTCCCCTATTTCCTCTAGCAGCTGTCTCATTGACAGCCGCTAGAGGCGCTTGCGTGCTTCTCACTGTGATTTTCACAGTGAGAGCACGCCAGCGTCCATAGGAAAGCATTATGAATGCTTTCCTGTGTGACCCGACTGGGCTCTTGGCGGCGCAGTTCGCGCAGCGTGTATACAGCCCGGCGAGGGGAAGGATCAGGAGGAGGAAGAGCTCTCGCCCGAAAGCGCTGGAAAAGATAAGTTTTGCCTTTTCAGAAACAGCGAGAGAGGAGTCCCCTAAAGGACCACTATAGTGCCTGTTTTTCCTGGCACTATAATTGAGATCCTTTAAGACTTCCACTACAGACACCCAGATCACATCAGCTCAATGAAGTTGTCTGGGTGTCCGCGTCCTCTAGTTTTAACCCTCCAGCTGAAAACATAGCAGTTTCAGAGAAACTGCTATGTTTCACTGAGGGTTAATCCAGCCTCTAGTGGCTGTCTCACTGACAGCCGCCAGAGGAGCACACTGAACGTCCATAGGAAAGCATTGAGTAATGCTTTCCTATGGGCGGTTTGAATGCGTGCGCGGTCGCATTTGGAGCTGAGAGGCTGAGGGATCCCCAGCGCCAAGGGAGTCCGGCGCTGGAGAAAGGTAAGTGCTGAAGACACACACACTCTCACTTACAGACGCATACACACTAGCTAACAGACACACACATTTACTGACAGAGACACACTCAGCGACAGACATACATACACACTCACAAAACATACACTCTCATTGACAAACACACACTCACTAACAGACATCAAACAGACTCACTAACACACACACTCAGTAAGACACACACAGTAACACACTCACTGACACTCACTAGCAGACACACACACTCTCACACTCACTCTCACACTCACTCTCACATTCACTCTCACACTCACTCTCACTCTCACACACTAACACATGTTTTTTTTATTTTTATTTAATCTCCCCAGCCTCATTACCTTTTGGAGTGCTGGGGGGATTATTCCCTGGGGTCCAGTGGTGCTGCTGCTGGGCTCCTGGGCGGGTGGCCGGTCGGGCAGGCAGGCGGGCGCGCGAGGGAGCACTCAGTGCTTCCTCTTCAGCTCCCTCGCGCGCCATGTAGGGATGCCGGCGCCGGAAGATGACGTCATCTTCCGGCTCCGGTATCAATCGCGATGCCTTGAGGGAAGCTGAAGAGGAAGCTTGTTGCTCCCTCGTAGCGCCCTGCCTGCTGACCCGGCCACCGCCCTTCCGGAGGTCAACAGGGCCAGCCTCGGGGAGGGGCCTGGGGTGGCGCCTCCTGGAGGCCCCTGGAGAGGAGGCTGGCCTGTGGCTACATACCCGGTCGCGGGAAGCGGCCGGGGCCCTGGTGGGCGGGCCTGGTCGCAGCGAACCCTGGTATGTCGCCACTGGGGTGAGACCACATATCAAATTCACCCAGATCAGTTCAGTACTGGAGATACAGTTTAATGCAGATTCTGCAGAACATATACAGGCTAAATGAAAAACAATCACTGTATAATGTGTCCGGCACCAGCATAAGTCTGAAACCACTGCCGATGTCTCCTGTACACCAAATACTGGCGAGATGGCACCGTGTTGAAAAGTCCAAACAGTGTCTGTGAGTTAAAATGGCCGCCATCCATTGTTCTCACCATGTGCTTCATCCATTGTTCTCACCATGTGCCTCTGATACAGGAAATGGTGGCCACCAGTAACTCCACAGTATGTCCCCAGATGGTTCTTAAAGGGCCAGCAGCAGCACAACACAAATCCATTATGCCCAAATCATGTCTTTAAAGGGCAATACATCCCAGGGGCCATAGTCACAGGGCAAGAGGCGGGCAAGCAGTCCTCTCCAGGCACAAGTGGCGAAGGGCACTTCGTCACAGGAGGGTTTATTCCCACTGCTGGAGCTGATTACCTGCAGCTGAGCAGTGGGTTGGAGACAGTCCAAAACCCTGGCCTGAACCTTATTTCTCTGTGTTGTATATAAACTGAGGAGTGGAGCTCTGGCCTGCCCTACTCACCGAATGTTCCACCCCAGGGGCCCATATCTAAACATTCATACAACACATACTCCCACTGGGGTTAAATGTAGACATGTGCAATTCGTTTCGGTCCGAATGTGAATTCGGACGAATTACGGGCAGATACATTTTCTGAAGTTCTGAAATTACAGAATTGCCGAAGTTCCGAAGCACAGTATTGCCACAGTAAGTACTAATATACCTACCCAGTGAAAGAAGGAGAATGTTACTGTATACAATTTTAAATAAAAAGTATACAAACATAGCCAGGATTCAGCTGTAAGCATTTGCAACACTTACAACAATCAAGTAACACACATTCATATAAAATGTAAGTTACTTAGCCAGTCAGTGTAATGACAGGAATGAATAAGTAGATAACTCCCTAATTCCCACAGTATTAGGGAGCTATCTACTAAAAGGCTGAAAGACCTATATTGGTCTTTCAGCCAAATTTACTAATACTAAATAAAGATTACTTAGTATTAGTAAATTATGACCCTACTCGCTATACCGCGAGTAGGGGCATGTCTATTAAACAGTGAGCCAGGGGGGAGGACATTAGGTCCCCCCCCTTATTCTAATTTAGGGCCCCCACCCACTGCTCTGGGGTGGGGGGCCAGGTGGGAGGACATTAGGTCCCCCCCCCCCTTTTAGTATTTACAGCCCCCACCCACCACTCAGGGTTCATTGTGGCTGTAATTATCTTGTGTTACTGCTAATGATGTGTGTAATGTTATGCTTGTTCACTGTGGCTGTGATTGTGTTGTGTTACTGTTAATGATGTCTGTAATGTTATGCTTGTTCACTGTGGCTGTGATTGTGTTGTGTTACTGTTAATGATGTCTGTAATGTTATGCTTGTTCACTGTGGCTGTGATTGTGTTGTGTTACTGTTAATGATGTCTGTAATGTTATGCTTGTTCACTGTGGCTGTAATTGTCTTGTGTGTTACTGTTAATGATGTCTGTAATGTTATGCTTGTTCACTATAGCTGTAATTGTCTTGTGTGTTACTGTTAATGATGTCTGTAATGTTATGCTTGTTCGCTGTGGCTGTGATTGTGTTGTGTTACTGTTAATGATGTCTGTAATGTTATGCTTGTTCACTATGTGTTCATTGTGGCTGTGATTGTGTTGTATTATGATGAATATTACATTTTTGAAAATTGCATGATGTTTTGTTTTTGCGCAGGATGTTCTAACTGTTGTGGTGGTTGATCTTCGACTCTGTGCAGTAAAATTGTGTCCTGATGCTGACAGACGGTTTTGTTTTGAAGTTGTTTCACCAGCAAAGTGAGTAATTACTCTATACATGTGGCAGAGACAGGGTTGCGAATTGACCAGAGACTTTAACCTAAAAATATATTTGATAACCCCTCCTATATGCATACATATTACTTGAAGCCCAGCTGTAAACTATAAAGTGCCAAATGTTACTAGTTACTACTTCATACACAGAAATGAT